CTTGACCGGGGTGAATGGGGAATGGGTGCTGAATGACGGACGTTGCATGTGGTGTATTTTGAAAGTTTCCGTTGTTGATGCCCTCGTTGAGAGAGGGAAGCATCCTCTGAGAGAAGGGCGTACCTTGCATCTCTTCATCGACCTCAATCGCCCCTCGGTCGGGCCCCGCCAGAAAGCCAGGCACCTCCCCGGTTCCTGGTGGGCGGGCAATCATTCATCACTGCCTGGCGGCTACGTACGACAGCCTAACGTGCCCTGCTGCGGACCACGTTATGCGCCAACGTCAACAACACGCACAAAGCTTCGTTCGACCTGCCCGCCCAGCTCGCCTAGCTGAGAGTTACAAGACGACAGGACACCGCTCCTCCATCACTCAGCCTTCCTTTCCCACCTCTCTCATCGCCCCCAACTCTCCGAGCCCTGCCCTCCCACCCGGCACTCACCGTCTGTCGGGCGCTTCGTCCACCAAACACCGCCGCCGCCGCCGTCGGAGACGACAAGAGTCACACAAAGACCAGACACCTCGACGCGCCGGCAGCTACCTATCTAGGGAGCTCTCAGCGCCCGTCTGCCCCGCCTCAATCAACTGCCCGTCTCTCATTTCAACCCCAGCACTATGACCTCACAGGCAGACCAACTCGGGACACCTCTTGACAAGCAATAGAACCAAACGCACCCGCAACATCTAATAAGGCCCTCGCTGCTACCAGCATATCGTGCCACCGAACTACACACACCTCGGAAGACTTGAGACCGGCCGCAGAGCAGCAGCCCACCGACGGACTCGAAGACGCCGCCGCCGCCGCCGTCCTCGACGCCGAAAGGAGCCGCTGCGCGCTAGCTCTTCTCCATCAGCACCACCGGCCAACCTCTGAAGAGCAGTAACCGTACCTTACAGAGTACGTACAGAAAGAGGGTGACGGATCCCAGAGTGCACTGACACTGGTCTGCCTCAATCGCCGCTTCCCCCACCCCGCACTCCGCACACAACAGCACAAGACAGCAACCACCGACTGTATCCTGACCCGGCGAGCTGCATCCGTCCACCTCCTGCTGCGAGTTCCTGACCAAACACCCAGAGGTCACCTCCGACGAGGCCCCGTATGCCACCCAATCATCACGGCATCTGAATAAGGCTGCCCGTCCACAGCAAAACACTCACCCCCCGCGAGACTGCGAACCACTTGATCCATCGCCCGGGCCCCAAGCTCGCCCTCATCTTTCAAAATGACGCAGTCTCCCATGATCTCCTCGCCCCTCAAGGCCACAAACGAGATCGACTGGGTCTCCCCGCTGAAAGACTACATCCGCAACACATACGGCGATGATCCCGAGCGCTACGCCGAGGAATGCGCCACCCTCAACCGCCTGCGACAGGATGTGAGGGGCGCCGGCAAGGACAGCACCTCGGGTCGCGACATGCTCTACAGATACTATGGCCAGCTCGAGCTGCTCGATTTGCGCTTCCCCGTCGACGAGCAGCACATCAAGATCTCCTTCACATGGTACTACCCGCTCCCCAAGCTAGCCGCGCCCGCAGACTGACACCCGCCGATCACAGGTTCGACGCCTTCACCCACAAGTCGACAGCACAGTACTCCCTCGCGTTCGAGAAAGCCTCCATAATCTTCAACATATCCGCCGTCCTGTCATGCCACGCCGCGCACCAGACGAGATCCGAGGAGTCGGGCCTCAAGACGGCGTACCACTCGTTCCAGGCGTCCGCCGGCATGTTCACTTACATCAACGAGAACTTTCTGCACGCGCCCTCGTCCGACCTGAGCCGCGAGACCGTCAAGACGCTCATCGCCATCATGCTGGCCCAAGCGCAGGAGGTGTTCCTGGAGAAACAGGTGGCCGACAAGAAGAAGGTGGCGCTGCTTGCCAAGCTTGCCAGCCAAGCTGCGTACCTGTATGCGCAGGCGGTCGAAGGCGTCCAGGACAACTTCAACAGGGCCATATTCGAGAAGGTCTGGCTTCTCATGGTGCAGGTAAGATCTGTCTTTTTGTCACCCCACCGTGCAGCTTGGCGAGCTTCGGCTAACGCTCGCAGGTAAAATCCAACCTCATGAGCTCCATGTCCCAGTACTATCAGGCCCTGGCCGACGACGAGGCAGGCCAACACGGAAACGCCGTTGCCAGGTTGCAGGCGGCCGAATCGCAAGGGAAGGAGGCCAATCGCATCGCTACTAACTTCCCCAATTCCGTGCCACCGAACTCCAACCTCAGCGCCGAGACGGGAGGGCTCCTCGTTGAGTTTACAAAAAGGCACCTGTCGACCGTGCAAGATAAGCTGAAGGAGCTGAGCAAGGACAATGACTTTATTTACCACCAAACCGTGCCTGCGGAGGCGAGCCTCGCACCGGTCGCCAAGCTCCCGGCATCCAAGCCGATTCCCGTGAGCGAACTGTACGCCGGGCAGGATATTCAACGGATCACCGGCCCAGACCTGTTCTCCAAGATTGTGCCTCTGGCTGTGACGGAGTCGGCCAGTCTCTACGACGAGGAGAAGGCCAAGCTTATCAGAGCGGAGACGGAACGAGTAGACATTGCCAACAGCGAGATGGCTGCCAGCCTGGATTATCTAAGGTTACCCGGTGCTTTGCAGGTTCTAAAGGGCGGTTTCGACCAGGAGATTCTTCCCGACGACGAGTTTAGGACGTGGTGCGAGGACGTTGCAGGACACGAGGACCCGACATCCATATTTGAGACACTCCGGACCGAAAAGGACTACATCATCACCACGCTGGACAAGAACACGAAGCAGCTGGACATGGAGGAGAGTGTTTGCGAAAAGATGCGCTCAAAATACGAAAACGAATGGACGCAACAACCGAGTTCCAGGTTGACCACGACGCTGCGGAGCGACATAAGGAATTATCGAGAAGCATTGGAGGAAGCAGCGCGGAGCGACAACCAATTAGCGGCCAAGCTGCGGCAAAACGAGGCTGAATTCGAGGAGATGAGGGCTGCCGCGGCACACGGAAACATTGACGCTCTGTTCCAGCGTGCGGTCGGCAAGGTCCGCGGCAAGACGAGCAACACGGCCAGCCCTTCTGGCAACGAGAACCTGCTGGACATGGACTTTGACGAAGGGGGCCCCAGTGTCGTCGATCAGATCCACAAAGTGGAGGAGATCATGAAGAAGCTGAACCTGATCAAGAGGGAGCGCAATCAAGTGTTGAAAGACCTCAAGGAAAAGGTAGGCCCTGGTGTTGATGCTTGCAGAAAAGATGCTGACCAAGACAGGTTCACAACGACGACATTTCAGAGATTCTCATACTCAACAAAAAGTCCATTTCAAACTACGAGTCTCAGCTGTTCCAGTCGGAGCTGGAAAAGTTCAGGCCATACCAGAACCGGCTGCTTCAGGCAAACCACAAGCAGTCGGCGTTGATGAAGGATCTTACGGCCAGCTTCAACACGCTTCTGCAGGACAAGCGGGTGAGGTCGGAGCAGAGCAAGTACGAGGCGGTGCAGAGACAAAGGACGGCGGTCATGAACAAGTACAAGCGCGCGTACCAAGAGTTCCTCGACCTCGAGGCCGGGCTGCAGGGCGCCAAGACATGGTACGCCGAGATGAAGGAGACCGTGCAGAGCCTCGAGAAGAACGTCGAGACGTTTGTCAACAACAGGCGTTCGGAGGGTGCGCAGCTGCTCAACAGCATCGAACAAGAGCGGTCCACCCGCAAGGATGCGCACGCCGAGTTGGAGCGCGAGCGCCTCAGGGGACTAATGGAACGCATGTCGATGGAACCGAACGCGACCTCGCCCAAGCCCACCTCGAACCGCCCGACGCCGTCCCCGTTGAACTTTGCCAGCAACTCCGCGCCGCGGTATCCCCAGACCAACTTCCAGGGGCAGTATCAGGTCCCTCAGTCCCCTCCAGCCAACCAGCAGCAATACCCCAGCTTCGCCGCCCCCCCAACGACGCAATCGTATACGCCCCAGCCGGCCAACACATACGGCCAGCCGGCGTACAACCCAAGTCAATACGGACGCACACCCGGCCCGACGTCTCCGCCGCCTCATCAGTCTACCTTTGGTCCGACCGTCCTCCGCGGGCCTGCATCTCCTCCTCCCAATCAGACGTCATTTAACCAAGGCCAGCCCTACGGCAACTATCCTGGGCAACCGCAGCAGATGCCTGCGGGTTTCGTGCCGCCCCCTCCCCCTCCCGGGCCGCCTCCGCTGGGTCCCCAGCAGACCTTTTACGGCCAGCAAGACTACCAGCAGCAGCAGCAGCAGCAAAACTATCAACAACAAGGCCAGTATCCCTCGAGCGCGCACCCCAGGTCTGCACAGCCGCAGCAGAACAGCGATCCTTGGGCCGGGTTGAATAACTGGAAGTGAGGGCGGACGTGAGGTATGAGTGATGCATGGACCCGGAGTCTTGGAATTTGTTCGCTTTTGGCCGCGGTGACGAGGTTGCCACGCAAGCCGACGATGGCCTTCCAGAGTGCCATGACCGAGAGGCCGTTGAGGGACGTAGGTTGGCAGTAAACACACGCAACAGGTACGCTTAAATAGCTGCGGTTCGCGCCTTTGAATAGATGCATTATTGTAAACATGGCCCAACTCGTGCACCTGGACAGGATGGATGCACACGCACGCAGCAGATGACTTGATGCTCTGTATTCCCTTCTTCCTCCACCAGACTTGTTCTACCTACCCAAGGCCGTTACGCACTTCATCATTGCATATGTGTAAATATGAATAAAGACATCGACGCACACGCGGAGAGATCCACACACCCACACTCACACATATACCCCTTTCTACATGCAACCCATCAACTTTCATCCCTCGACAGCAATCTTTCTTTTGCCGAATGCTTCGCTATGCGTTGTCTCGACACACCAAACAATCTCCATCTCTCTCTCACCCCACCCACCCTTGCCTTCATCAATGCGACTATGCTAAATAACGATAAAGTAACGCCATGTTCACTACAAACTCAATATAAAAAGAACACAAGACTTTGGGGGTTCTGCGTCCGTTTAGTGGCGCTCGCTACCCCAAGCCTTGGCCGCTTCGGCGGCTTCTGTCGTGACGTGTGTGTCCTGGGCGGCTTCGTCCTCGTCATCGTCGGACGATTCGTGCTTCTCCTTCGCGATGACGGCGGGCTTAGGGGTCAGCGGCGGCTGCTCCTTTTCAGGCTCGGGCGCCACCATCTTGATGGTGCTCTCCTTTTCCTGCCCGTTCGGCTTGCCATCAGCGCTCGCCGCGGGTGTCTCGGCGGCGGCGGCAGCAGCAGGGCCGTCCTTTGACTTTGGCCGGCGCTCCCTCTCGGGGCTGCCCGGCGCCGACTCTACCGTCCCCGCAGAAAACAGCGACTCCGTAAACGAGTCTTGCGTCAGGGGACGGAAGTCGTGGTTGCTGGTGCTGCTCCTCTCCGGGGCCTTCTTCTCGTTGACCTCGGTGCTTGCCGATGACGTGGACGTCCTGCCGTCCTTGTTGGCGTCTGTTGTCTTGGACTTGCCCCATCCCCTGCCCCAGCCGCCGTATCCTCCGCCCCCTCCGCTGGTATTACTACTCGTACTGTCCCTATTGCTACCGCTGCCGCCGCCGCCGCCGCCCCATCCGGCCTTTCGCTTCTCGCCGGCCCAGGTGACCCATGAACTGACGTACGAGCTGGCCTTGCCTCCCGTGCCCTGAGCGCTCTTCTTCTCCGTCTCGGACCCGATAGTGGGCGTAGGGGGCGCCGACGCGCCAGCCTTCTCGGCCTGCTCCTGGGCGATGCGCTGCTCCTCCGCCCTCTTCTCACGGAACGCCTCCATGTCGGCGTAGAACTTGTTGAACATGGTCGACGCCTTCTCCTTGCCGGCGGCGAAGTTGCGCCCCAGCACCTCCTTGCCGACGGCGAGGCGCTCGTCGAGGTGCATGTCCTGCACCTGCTGCGCGATGCGCCTCTGCACGTCGTCGATCGTTAGGCCACCGGCGCATGGATGCCGCGGCTCGACCACGTCAAAGAGGTGTGAGTCGGTGTTGGCGTTCCAGATGCGGTGGTTCTCCGTGCGGTTCCAGTACTCCACAAAGTCGCTGCCAAAGTCGAGCGACGGGTCGCCCTCGATGTGCGGGAGGAGGGCGCGCGGGTTGTTGGGGTTGGCGAGGAGGTGGGCGCGGTACTTGACCGAGGCGACAAGCGACAGGATGTACTCCTCGAACTGCAGGCGGATAAACTCCTCGCTGCCGACGTAGCCCATGGTCTTGGGCCGGCCCGGGTTGGCCTCATCCCAGGTCTCGTTCACCTCGTTGGTCAGGTAGTCGATCCAGCGGCGGTCGGCCGCCGAAAGTGCCAGGGCGTTGCGAAGGGATGTGGAGGTGACATTAACGTTGTGCTCGTCCAGGTTGATTAGGATATCGCTGTAGCGGTCTCGCTGCTGCAGGAGCAGCGAGTTTGTGCTGCCGACAATGTAGGACTTTGTGCCAAAATCGGCAAGGATGTCGAGCTGCTGGAGGGGTGTGTAGGGGCCAAACAAGCTGCCCTGTTAGGTGTCAGCCTATGCTCAAGAGACGAGATACGTTCGACGCACCTTGCCAAATATTTGAAGAGGCAGACCCATGTAAGTGAGCAGAGAGTTGCGATCGCTCGTCCGCAGACTTGTGGGCTTCCTTAGCTTCTCTTCATACCTGTTCAGCTCGGGATCGGCGCAGTCAATGAGATTACGAATAAGACCGGGTATCAATGAAATGAGAGAAAACTGCATCATGCATAACCGCTCGCAACGTGATCCAAAAAAGAGCATCTGTGAACGGTCAGTATGAGTGCGTCGAGGGCTGACTGCGCGACGCACCTTTGGCTGCAGCAAACAGCACTTGAACAGAACCAACGTCTGCCACCTGAACTCGCGCACAAGCTCCCTAAGGTTCATGCCGAGATACTGGTCGCGGCTCTCCTCCTCGGTCAACAGCCCGCGCTCCTTCTCCTCCGCCAGGCTCTCCTGGAAGCGACGCAGGATCTCCGTGTCGGTGAACTCGCGCTGGGCGAACCAGGCCTGGGTGACGACGCTCAGCCGCTCGCGCATCATGCCAAAGTGCTGCGGCGTGTCGGCGATGACGACGACGGCCTTCTGGACCGTCGAGCGGGTCACGTCGGCGGGGCGGTTGATCAGCTGCGAGGCGTCGAGCTGCCGCGTGCACGAAATGCCGAATAGGGACGTCGCGGGCCCGGTGGCGGTCGCAGGGCGGAGGAGGGTGAAGTAGGAAAAGTCCTCGCTCGATCTGTCCAGTATTAGCTTCCTGTCTTGTTGCCGCACACGGGTTTTCCGCTCTCACAGATGTGCGCCGTCGCTCAACGCCATGAACGGCAGCAGCCCCCAGTCGTACTCGACAGCCGGGTCGCTGCCCTCGGGCACGCCAAACCACATCTCGACCTCGGGCCCGCGCGCATGGTGGAAGTCGACGACCGTCACCAGCGGGATGAAGCCCGTCTTCGCCGGCGTTGACGGCACCGTCAGCGGCGTAGCAACGCCGGACGTGGGCGTCGCGACCTCGGGGGTGTCCATGCCGTGTCTGTTCCCGTCCACGTCTTTCGGTGTATCCACGACGCAGCTTCAGCCGAGTCACTAAACAAGTCTCTGTACAATACTTCCCGAGCCGACCAATGGCCCTTAACAATTCCAACTACCAATGCTTTCTCGTTGCTGTGGTCTTTGGTTTCCTTGGCGCGACTCGGCCCACTCCTATGACTTTGCCATGTATATTCCCACCTCGGCTCTTTGCAGTTCGCTTCGGGTCGGCGTTGGCCCCCTTTCGAGAATCCGTCGCACGTTTCGTCGCAAGTTCGGGCTCGACGGGATTTCGGGTTCGCGCCGCTGTCAGCCTCGCCGTGCGTGGAAGCTATTCGTCCCCCCTCCGAGCAAAAAAGGTGCCGCCAACGTGAGGGGCTTCTTCTGACGTAGTATCGAGCGCTGTCCACTCAGAAGAGGGGCGGAAGTGAGACACACAACGGTCAAGGGGAGCCGTATCCAAAAAGCAATTGACCCCGTCTCGCAGCGGAGGTCACGATTAAGAGGAGTGGTCGATTAACGGCGGTCTTCTTATAACGCTTCTCCTGTGCCTTTCGTGACAATCGCGGTCACAGTTGGCAGTGTCGTTGGTGGGATTCGCTCAGAGCGGGAAGAGGGCCAGCTTGGAGAAGCGGTGACGGCGGTCGTCTGGCTCGACCAGCGTGCGCGTGTGCGCGTGTGTTGATGAGCTGTAAAGGTCGGGGTGGCGCACCGCCGGCGTCTCGCGTGGTTGATTCGCTGGCTGGTGTGAACGAATTGCGGAACGAGGAGCGAGCAGTAAGCGACGGCTGGCTTACACGAGAGCCGAATTGCAGGACGAGGGCTGCAGAGCTGAAGACGGGAGCAATTCGCCTCTTGCGGACAGCCAGAGGAGAAGAGAATGCGAGATAGGGAGGGGAGGTGAGGTGAGAGAGTCGAGGACGTGTTGTCGTGGTGGGTAAGGGCCCAGCACCCGACACGGCGGTACCTTGCACCTTGTTAGTCTTGGGGGGTTCGGGGGTCGATGAGTTGTTGAATTAGTGCTAATGCGCTAAGGCATCTCTGTAAGTAATACTTTATTACCACTTCCACTCTTTATTTCAATTTTCTGCCCTCACCTCACGAACCCCCTCGGCATCGAAATTTCGTCTCATTTGAAAAAATAATGCTGCTCGTCCCACCTCGGCCGGAGGTGGTGGTTCACTCAGGGATTCGAGAAGCACGCCCAAAATGAACCCCGCGGCAATCTCTGAAGCAACTCGTTCTAGAACCACAGACAACCAGTGCCGGGGTTGCAGCGTTGGCAGGCGCCTCGGACAGTGACATGATACGTCTGGAGATCACGTGTCGTGAGACCAGTCCAGGGTCTGGCACGGGCCGGCCGCTGCCACCTGTAAGTCTTGGGGTATCATCTTGAACACAGCCAGGCCAAGCAGCTCATTCAACCGGCTGCTGTGAATTCCACGAGAATAGCATCGTTTCAATTGACATGCACCTCTCACGATCAGCATCACGGGCTGGCATTGTGTGTCAGTCGCTTTTGCCCCAACCGGCGTAGCGCCAAGGGCCGGCCGAGCTACATGGTCCACCCCAGAGACACGTCAACCATGCACGGAGCACCGACCACCCGTCACCGGTCCAATGAGTGCGCGTCGTTGTGTCCGTAGCGCACATCTACATGCCACGGGCAAGCTCACCTCACAATGGGCCATTCCCGTCGCGTTGGAAGGGATTGTCAGGACTTGTGTCGACCTTCTGGAAGCCAGAAACCAAGTTCCATGCCGCCCGCCATGCGCGGAAGCCCCGCGGAGTGCACTCCTACCGACGGCAGAGAAATGTCTGGGAGGCGAAAACCTCGTTCCCGGAAGAGGCAAAAGAACCACGTACACCCGCCTCCGCCTACGAGCACCGCCAGCGTGTCTTGCATTGCATGAACCTTGGGATGGGATTCCCAGAATCTCCCTCCTCGTTGAATCAGTCGCATCTCTCCCCGCGCCGTCCCATCTCACCCAATGCTACCTCGCCGTGATGTGGCGACCCTCATTTTCGTCCAGTGACTTCCTTGCAACTGACTCTGACTGCCGGCTGGTTCGCAGTCAGATGAAGTGAAAATTGATCTCCATCAGTGGACAATGGTTTGCGACGGATCCAACTGAACCGAGTCAGATTGTCGATGAGGCGGTCTGCGGCACATGCTGCCGTGCGACCCCCGCGAGACTTCACCGTAGGCCCGACCGGTCGATGCGTCACTCGGTGTAGCCGGAGCATCAGCACCGATGCTGTAGGTCACAGCCATTGGGTGTTTTCACGGTTTCTTCTATTCTTCTCGCCGACTCTACCGTTGCGCCATTCATCGTTCCAGACGGGCTTCCCCCACAGCCCTCTCTGGTGATTACAACTCCGCCATGGCTATTCGTGTTCGTTCGATAGGTATAGTCGTCTTCCCAGGGCCTGGAGACCCTTTGCTGCCTCACACCACCGTCCTCAATGCCGCGGGCTATCATCTAACAGTCGAGGGACCCCCAGGAACAGAAAGGAAAAAGGAAATGCCGTTACAACATGGTTTGAAGGAAACATAAAAAGATAAAAACACCTCCGAGATGCATGCCATTTCCTTTATCGCGTATACTGTTGGCCCTCTGCATTGTGTCAACGTTACAAAAACCGAACCCGTCTTCCGAACACCAAGGCAGTGTGTGTGAATGTACTGGAAACACGTCCCATCAGGTTTTGCGTGGTATCATAGCCTCCTCGCTCCTATTTGTCCTCGCTAGGCCCCCCTTTCCTTTTTTTTTTTTTTTTTAATTGCGCCGTCGTCTATTGCCCGTTGAATTGCTGCTCCTGCTCCATCTGCTGAGTCGCCGCGTCCACATTATGGTAGTCGAGTATCTCAGAGTACCTGTAAAAGCCCTGTTAGCATTCGAATCGGTGTCAGTGCGTGCTCGGGGCGACATACATCATGATCTTCCAAGTGTCCACTGGCAGATCGGCGTCGTTGAAGCTCCAGTCGAACTTCTCCTCAGCCACGGGCTCATCGGTGGGGTCGTGGTAGGGGGCGAGGTAGTCGTGCGAGAGCGCCTCGGTGGCCGTTACTCTCTTCTTGGGGTCGAAGACGAGCATCCTCTCCAAGAGGTCGATGGCCGACGGGTCGGCATTCTTAAACTTGTTCTTCAGGGGTTGCCTCTCGCGCTTGGGGAGCGACTTGACGAAGCGGAGGGTCTGCGCGGTGGTTAACTTCTAGGCATCTCACGACATGATGGCTCACTCACGTTTTCGCTAGCAATAGTGTTGATAACATCGTCGGGGGGGGTGCCCAGCAGCTCAGTGATGATGGAGAACTGGTTGACATGGTCCTTTCCCGGGAAGAGAGGCTTGCCCTCGAGCATCTCGGCAAAGATGCATCCCGCGCTCCAGATATCAACCTCGACGTCGTACTTTTGCCACGTGAGCATGATTTCGGGGGCACGGTAGTATCTCGTCGAGACGTAGCCGGTCATCTGGGGGTCCTGAATACGAGCGAGGCCGAAGTCGCAAATCTTCAAATCGCAGTTCTCGTTGACGAGGATGTTGCTGGGCTTCAGGTCACGGTGAACAACTCCAGCGGAGTGGACGTATTTCAATCCGCGCTGCGACGCGGTCAGCATATTGGCGTCGGGTGCTACAGAGAGAGCGGAAGCATACCATAATCTGATAGAGGAAGTACTGAATGAACTGCTTCTCCAAGGGCCTGGAGGTGAGTAGCCTGTGCAAGTCGGTGCCCAGCAGCTCTGTGACAAAGTAGATGTCCTCAAGGGGAGAGATGAAGATGTCGCTCAGGGAGATGACCTGCTGCGTGTTAGAGCCTGCCCGATGGTTGACAACTACTACCCGCGACATACGTTCTCGTGCCTGAGGTGCTTGAGCAGCTTGAGCTCTCTGTATGTGCGCTTGGCGAGCACCGGGGTGCTGAAGGGCTTCATGATCTTCTTGACGGCGACATTCTGGTTGGTGAGCTGGTCACGGGCGGAGCTGGCAGCAGAAACGGCATGTCAGCAGAATGATGGGAGGCTCGCAGCGGCACTCGCAGCCGCTGCGACGCAGACTTCTCAGACTAACCAAACGAGACCGAAGGCGCCCATGCCTACGGGTTGCAGGTCCGAGTACCTTGAGGTGATCTCAAAGGTCGTACCAAAGATTTGTGCTCTGATGAATTCCGCCATTTTGTGCGATGGTCGATCTTCGCGATCGGGTATGTTGTGTGGTGAACAAAAGGGAGAGTTGAGTTTGGCGATGGGCGGCTGTCGAGAACTAGAGAGAAGGGTGTGAGGGATGGTGGAGCAGGAGACCGGCTGTCGGGAGATCGACGGAACAGGTTATGCTCTGGTTGCACTTTTTTCCCTTTCGTTGCGGTGATGAGGGAATAAACGGGCAAAACGAACCAAGTCGAATAGAGCGATACTTTGATATCGACCGAGGGGGGTTCTGCGGTTAAAATGCGATGGTGCAGCTGGAGGGAGGGATGACGGGCGGAGGACGCTGGAGTTGGCCGGGTTTGAAAAAGGAACCAGTGACGGCGGGGAGCGAGCTTCAAGGAATTGTTTTGCAGGAGGGGCGGCTGTTCGGCGGGGCGTCCAGGGCGAGGAAGAAGAGGAGGACCTGGTCGAGGCGTGCAAAAGGCGGCGGGGTAACGAAAGTGGCAGCAGGTGCACACACACGTCTAGACTGGCTCAGGCTCTGGCGTTTTGCTGGGATCTGGAAAGCAACCTATTGCACAGCGTGGCGACGGCATTAGCGAGCGCGCTCTCTTCCTCTCTCTTTAAACATGTGCAAGGAGCAGCAGTACAACTGGTAGTAGCGAATTATAGCAGTCGGGGCAATAAAGCGAACCACAGCAATGCAGAGCAGAGCAGAGCGACCGAAGGGGGGAAAAAAAACGAAGAGAAACCTGGTTTTCTGTCCGTGACGTCTGCTTTGCCCGGCTGGCCCCCTCCCCCCTACCCTACAGGCCGTCCTTCGCTTTTGCATAACGTAGGGACGCC